GCCGCAGTATTGTCGGGGCCCTGGATTAACAGTAAAGTGAAAGACTATTTGGTCGATATGACTGCTATAGTGAGTTACATATGCAGAAAAACCTTGTTCAGAGTGGCGTTCAGAGGACGATTTGAAGCGATAGATGGATAGACGGAGTGTCAGTAAGCTGCTGACTTGTCTTGGAGGGCAGCCTCGTTCGGCAAAAGTCTCGCCATTGGAAGCCTCAGGCAGCAACAGATCACCACTGGATAATAGGACAAAAACATCTCTCCCAACAACGACCAACAATCCCTTTCCTGTCTAGCAATCGTCTTGAGATCTGAAGCTCGGTAGATGGAGCATTCAGAAAGGAAGTTTTATCTTGAGAAAATATGCTTGGAGAAGAATTTGGTCGGAATGGAAATGCTCGGGTCAAATTTGCTGGGCCGATTTGTTCGAGAAACACTCCCGTATCCAGTCTCTAATTAAGTCTATCTTCAATTCTGCTGCAGGAGTTGACTACCTACCTCCCTTGAGATCTAGGAAAAATCAACCAAGCTCTATGAAAACTCCGATTCCCGTCCATCCATGTATAACAACCTGAAATTATGAGGTCCAATCATATACGATGCCAAGAACTCTATTCAATCCTACCCCGAGTATTTCTTGCCCCCGCGCAAAGAAGCCCCGTACTTGAAGAGCACCCAAGGGATTGGGAGCAGAAGGAGCGACAGGAAGGCGAAGAGACTGCCCGCCCAGTGCACACCAAGCTTCTCGTACATCTGCACGGTAAACAGGGGGAACGTCGCTCCCAGAATATATCGAATAACGCCATTGGCGGCCAATGCTAGAAGTGAAACTCGAATGAGTACAAGGCTGTAGAGCAAAAAGCGAGGGGGAGAGACTTACCCGATGCGGCTGCTCTGGCTTGATAGACATCAACAAGATAGGTGATGGTTGACAGCTAAAGAGAAGAAGCTTAGGTTAGTTAGGTCATTCTACACTAGATTCAGGTCTGCAGGCTGATAGCACCCTGGGAGCCACCGCTGGGAAGAGACATACGAAAAGAGAAAATGCCCCCACTCCAAAGGGGATCCCTGCACAGACAAGCGCAGCCCAGTGGCCGCCGGCGTGGGCTTCCCATGAGTACCTAAAGATTGCAGTTAACACAATTGAACCAAGGGGGTGATATAGCCAGGACGAGGAGTTTCCGAGGCTTACCAGAATAGACCCACTGGTAAGAGTACGCTGCCTGCCATGGCCGAGTACAGGCGATGCTCAGGAGCGGCAACGCCTCCGCCAGCCACGCGTGCCCTAACGTACAGAGTCTTGTCGAAGACCCCGAACATGAACGCTGCAAGAATATATCCGACGATCACGCTGATAAAGCTAAGCCCAATCTGCCGCCAGTTGAATCCATAATACACTTTCAAGACGTAGGAAGAGCTGGCGAAATAGCTGAAGATCATGGCGTAGGCGAACGCCGTATACAAGGTCAATGAGAACACGATGACCTCCGTGAATAAAAGCTTCACGGGCCTTCCAAGCCCTGTTGTGATGAGCTGCTGCAGGGAAGGCTTCATAAGTTCTGGCTGCTGTTGCGACTCTTCCTCTTTCGCAGAGTGGTTGTTGTTCTTATTGACCTTGATCAAGATTCTCTCCTTCATGGTTTCCCGCATCAGTACCGCGCCGAGCCAGACCACCGCGCAGAGGATTGCCATGACCCATTGCGTCCATCTCCAGTCATAATCATGGTCTTTGAGGACATAGGCCCCGGCGAGTGGGCCCATCGTGGGGCCCAGGAAAGGGCCCAGGATGAAGAGCAAGGATGCAGGACCTCCCTCCTTTTCCAGATCCCAAATATCGGCCAGCGTGCCGGCACCGATCGCAACGCCAGCAGATCCCAAAACCCCAGCCAGGCCACGGCATACAAGTAGGGTTGCTAGGTTGTTCGCCGCCCCGGCACCAGCACTGAATGCCAACAAACAGGACGAGGTGAAGACATAGACCGGACGACGGCCGATAGTCTCTGATAGTGGTGCGATGAATAGAGGCCCGAATGCCAGACCAAGTGTGTATAGTGTGAGTGTGAGCATGGATATGGTTCGAGATACGTTGAATTGGATTGCTATAAGATCGAGCGCGGCTTCATTGACCGAAGTTCCGAACGTGCTTATTGCCCATAGTGTCAGTTCTGCTCTCCTTTTGCTTATATCTGTGAAAGAATAAGTGACCTGCAAACTTACATCACAAAAGCCAGAATGCATGGCACAACAGTATGGAACAACTTTTTCCAGATCGGCCAGTTGTGGGGGTTTCGTCTCTCGCGTGGATCTTCCCAGGGTATCTGTTCAAACTCTGGCTCCTGGAGAGCAGAACCCTGCAGAGTTGCAAGGACTTTGGGTTTGATCATTGTGTGCTATCCTTCAATGCTGGGCAGACGAGGTAGGTAGGATGGTCGAGCTGAATTCAGCCTGGATGCAGGGCCTACGCCCGTTTGTAGGGAGGCAAGATCTCTCGCAGGGAATGAGGCACGGCAAGTTTGACGACGTGGGACTCGGGTGGAGATGCACGCAAAGATATACCATCGTCGCAGGCATCGCCCCTTATAACGACAAATGGCTCTCGTATCTCCTTCGAAGTAATACCCACCCCATTTTGTCCTGTTATGGGTAGTTGGATTGCCAAGGTCAGCTTTTGTGAGAATAACCGCTGAGCCATATATATTTACCTCGGTCTGGAATAGTAATCATAGTTGAAATAAGCTTTAAGGAACCTGCTGGCGGTTGGATGTACCAATGGAACGGGAGGGAGCAGATTTGTGTTTATGTGATCACCTCCGATCGATGTGGGGGAGTTCCGCAGGGCGGATGAGCGGGTCCTCCGCCAGGACATACATATGTAGTAAGTATACGGAGTATTACACTCCAGAATCAATGCTCATGCTGAGTTATGTTGACCGTTCTGAGTATTCTCCACAGGTGGATAAAACATTCACATCTTAAAGATTGCAAGAGGATTGAATGTGAGTAGGAAGACGCAGAAGGATTGGAACAAGAGAGAGAAATTGCCAATGGAACATTCGTCGTTTGCTTCTACCTGAGCCAGCTGTCAATACCATAGCAGCACCGCCTTCGTAATTGCTCTCGTTAACAAAACTATATGGTACAGCACGTTATACAAAGGACTGAGGATTTGGCGGTGGTGGCTTTTGCCGGCAGAATTAGGGTGCAACCAGTCCTAAATAGGAATGAGATGAACTCCTCCAGGCTTGTGGAGGGAGTACGCAGACTACTTTCCAGGGGTTGACTGTATGAACGAAGATAAAATTTGACGGCCACGGAGATGATTTCCGATGCTGCTGCTATTATCGGCTTGCCGCTGAGGTGAAAGGAAGGGAGACCCGGGTCGGTTGACAAAATAACTAGTCTTGGCATGTCTGCTGGTCGAGCAGTGAAGCGCTCTAGTAATTGTACTGTACTGTACACTCTAACAACATTGACGGGCCCTGCATGGCAGAAAAAAAGGAAGGCGAAGAAGAGGACACAGAATTCATAATAGACAGGCAAAGGTGAAAAACGAGCCCCAAAACCAGGAAAATGTGAGGGGAAACGAAAAAAGAAAAACAAAAGAAAGACGAAGGGAAAAAAAACAAAGAGAGAAAAAGGAAAAAAAAAAAACCACGAACGAAGAAGAATGATAATGCTATTCATAGTCCCTCATTCGAATTGTTGAGCTGTTGAATTGATGATATAGATTTGGCAACCAATGTAGGAATGGATCCTGACTGGCCATTTTGACAACCTTAACAAAGAGCTAAACCTGATCGGGTCTACTGACATGGCGCCCCGCTGCCCGCTGTTCTCTGCTTCTCCATCGTCCCACACTGCATGATCAGCCTCCATCACTCTCTCTAAAATGAAAAATGACTTCCTTTACGTCACAACTCTGGACTTTTCCCTCCCACGCTTAATTCAGCTACCACAAACAACTCCCTTCTTTGACTTTCCCCTGTTTTGGGTGACCGGCGAATTGACACCCACCCTGAGCAGCCCGTATGTTCTGCCGGAAAGACATGTCGGCCAGCACACGAGCAAAAACCAATTGTGTCTCACAAGAGCTGGGTGTTCCATAGCCTTCCAGATGACTTCGTAGCTCGGAGCTCGACACTTGCGGCTCAGAGGCGTTCAGCCATGTTTAAACCACCCTCGTCACACACTGTCCGATCGAAGGAAGAAGAAGTGACTACGGCATCGTCATACTTGTCCCAGCCAATGCTGCCGGCCGGTGTCACCCTTCGTAGGGGAGGTTTTTTGGGGCCTGGCTTGCTACTAGCTCCCTAATCGATGCTGAAAGGGTACATGCAGCCGGAAAAGACAGGAGAGCAAGGATTTTGATAATGGAATTAGTGGCTTGAAGTTTTTGCTGGCTGTCGGGGGCGCCCGTCATGACCAGGTCTAGTCGCGGGTGAGACATTGGTGTCGACCGATGCTCGTCTCCCTTTCCATTGCCTCTGGGCACCAGACTTGTCCGGGCGTGACAGCTCGAGATCGTTTGGAAGGGAAAAAAAAAAGATCGTCTAATATGTCCGCTCCCGCGTTACCACAACGTCGAGTCTCTCTGCTTGTCCAAACCCCAGCCAGCCAATGGGACTAGAAATAGACCAGCCATCCAATGCAGCCCATCAGTGAAAGAAAACTGCACTACGCTTGGTGCATGATTTTGGCTGAAACGGCTTGTCGGTGAACTGTGTGCACAACCAATGGTGTTGATTCCAGCCATATCCCTCAACGAATGCATCAAGTCAATGGAAGAAAGCCAGCTTGAACGAAGTGCCGTTTCTTCTCTTCTGCTCTGTGGGATCCTTGGGCATAAATTCCCCCGTAAACTCCCCTACGCTGCAATCTTTCCTTCCTCCATCCTCTCCACTCTCCACTCTCCACTCTAGACCCCTCTTGAACACCTTCATGCTGCCCATAAGCGCTTTGTTGAACCCTGAGCCTGAGCCAAGTCGGACACTTTCCTCCAGTATGGCGCCACTCAATCAAACCAGCACCGTGGAGGCCGTCGTCCCCAAGCCAGGCCCAGCCCAATGCATGATCAGCGACGCTCCTGGGTTGAAATCAGGCCCCCCGCAGGGCCCGATCAACTATCCGCCTTGCGAGTACTACGACGAGGAGCTCTCCGAGATCTACGCAAAGTTTGAGATTTGCTTTACGTCGCGTACGCGCCGCATTCCGTACAAGCCCACGAAGCCCGACTTCTACGAGCGAACGGGACGGAACGAAGTCGATAGTATGTTGAGATCTCCTAGTGTAGACACATCTGCAAGATGCTGACTGTGGTTAGTCTATGGGTACGAGTTCAAGGACCCCGGTGACGACCAAGTGAAGCTCATCATATGGGACTACACCAATGGGCTTGTTCGCACGACGGGCATTTTCAAGTGCCACAAGTCCTGGGGCAAGGTACCTCCACATACACCCACGTTCCTACCCTGGTATTGCTACATGCTAACCCTGAGATGGAATAGACTCTTCCGGCGAGAGTGCTCAACAAGAACCGTGGCCTCAGAGATGTTTCCCACAAGCTCACGGGTGGAGTGATTGAGTCCCAAGGTAATGGATTTGCGCTTTTCTATTGAAGGCTACCGGCTGATCAATCTTGGGGATGGAAGGATACTACATGTCATTTGAATGCGCCAAAGCCATAGCCAAAAAGTTCTGCTGGCATGTGCGATACGCTCTAACACCGATTTTCGGCCACAATTTCCCCGGGGAATGTCTGCCGCCGGATCATCCCGGATATGGTTCATGGGAGATTGACCAGCATATCATTCGCGAGGCCGCGGAGGAAGCAAGGGCGTACCGCCGCGCCGCACTTGCCCACGCCCGGCCTTATCCCAGTCCCAGCCCGCATGACGATGACAATAATGATATAAGGTATGTCAAGTGTGTGCTGCTCTTATCCTCTTCATTCTAGCATCTCCTTTTCAGTTGTCATACTAATCAATTAACTTGTTACATAGTTCGAATGGGTACCCCTCATCGAGCGATGATGACAATCGCCCGCCGTCTACTGCCAGCAATGGCTGGACACCAGTCAATACCCCGCGAATGCAGTTGACTCCTCCGCCCTCCCCACCAACCCAGAATCAATCATCTCCTCAAAGCTCGCAGGGTGAGAGGGAGACCGGCGGCTGGAATCTCGTCCATACGGCCCTAGCAGGGTCGTTGTCCTACACCTCTGGTGCCATGGACGAAGACTCCGATGGCACCGAGGAGGAATCGACCGACGGGACCAGTGACGACGAGCGCGTCACGTGGCCACCCATACATCAATACACGAACCGAGACTTTGTGGCTGCGCAAACCATGCTGGAAATAAGAAACGGAGGCCCAATCGACGAGAACTATCCCATGGTCTGTCCAGATTGCCACGCAGTGATCTATATCCCGGACCTCAGGCCCGCCATCGCCTATTCATATGGCTGGCACGGGGGCCACTGAGCTGGCCAGTCTGCCTTGATGATCCTCTGTTCCTGGTTTGCTTGCACGTTTCCTTTAATCTGATTGCATGTAGGGCGTTGGGTTTGGACGGTTCATCAGAATGGCGTCGTACTGTTTTTTTCCTTGCTTCTTTGCTCTTGATGCTTTGCTCTCATTGCTTCTTCATGTCTCTTTCTCCAGATTGGCCCTTTTTTTTTTTCTTTTCGTTCCGTTTCTTTTTCTTTCTCTTTCTCTTCTCCTTCTCCTTTTTCTTTCTGTTCTCAAAACTTGAAAACAAGAAAATAAGGCACGGGGCGGGAACAGAATGAGGGGCAATGGCCGACATGAGATTTCTTAGTTAGATAGTTTCAGTTCCGCATGTGCTTAACACATAGCGAGGAGACAATAAAAGAGGAGGTGAGAAAAGACGTCCAAGTTCAAGGTCCCAGTTTTTCTTAGGGAGTAGAACCGATTAGATTCGGCGTGGTGGAACATTACACGACAGGACTGACTTAGATGAGGAGATAAGCTTAGTCTTCTGGGGATGGATGTAGAGATCCACCTGTGCTGGTGTACTGTATCTCACGCTGAGCTGCGATGATATAGACAAAGTAGACACCTAAGTTACTTTCTTTGATTGTTGGCCTCTATGTAAGGCTGTGCAGTATGGTGGACTCTGTCACCCCGCTGTGGAATCTGCAACACGCAACAGACAATAGGGGGTGAATAGAGGGTGTGCATGGCATGGCTCTTCCCTCACTCACCTTTCTGGTCTCTGTCTGCCCTTGCACACCTACCACTGCACACTCTGTAGAAGCTTAGGCAGCAAAAGCCGGATATTGCTCACCCCTCCTACCCCACAGACAGCTGTCAACTCGCCGCCGTGGTATTAGCAACGCAAGAGGCACAAGATCAGGCAT